TACCAAATAGCCAGAGTAGGAGGAGACTTGAAAGGGGAGGGGGTGGCAACAGGGTTAAAGGAACCTGAAAATCCCAACAGGGGAACATTGAGATTTAAGTTCCCTCCAACCCCAAAACTATACCCAGGCAAAGTCATAGGGCAGCCTTGCACAGCTCATGTAAGACCTCCGGAGGCTCAGGCCCCCAGGATCTCGGTCCAGGACCGTGGCCACCCCAATCACCATGCGGAGGCGAAATCTTGATGCAAACAGCAAGAAGCTTTATTGTAGTTGTTTAAGGAGCTAGCCCCATGTTAGCTCGGGCCTCCCATCCATCCACCATGGTGGATGTCTAGGAAAGATGGCAAGAAGCCACTGCATAGAGATCCGAGCTAACATGGGGTTAGCTCGTTAAATTACAATAAAGCCTCCTGCAGTTTGTATCAAGCTCTCGAATCTGCCTGGTGATTGGGGTGACCTTGGTCATGGCCTGGTACCCCGGATACCTGAGTTTTCCAGGGGTCTAACACAGGCAGATCTCTGAGTTTGACGCCAGTCTACAGAGTGAGTTCCAGGACAGCCAGAGCTATACAAAGAAATTCTGTCTCAAATAAATAAATAAATAAATAAAGAGTCTGATATCAAGTAGTTCATTCCCAACATAATTAAAGCCCATTATCATTTTGAAAATAAGTTTCCTGTTGTAATAGAATCCTCAGTGTACAAGGAAGCATAATTATATCAAAACTCAACTCAGGGTATATGTCATTTCTTCCAATAAGAATGGTTCTAGAGATAGGCAACCCATACTAGCTTAAGGGTCTAAGGGTCTGGCCTGGTCTGAGTCATACAGATATCTTAGAAGTCATTTCAACTATTAGCTACCTCTGGTCCTGGTTGTGGGAGCTTGGGGAAGCCTCTGGCTATAAGATTAATTTAGATTACTAGCCACCTCCAGTCCTGGTTGTAGGAGCTTGATATGCCTGGACCAACAGATAATACAGATCACAGACCACCAGGCTGTTAATCATGTCAAATTCTCAGCTTTCTGGATAAAACAGGTTGGATTTTTTTTTCATCTTTCCCATTGGAAAGACAATTCTATGTGCTTAACACTCCCAGTTTCTTTTGGAGATCTGTGGGTGCAAGGACCTTTGTGTTATGCTCCCAAACCTAACCCATGTCTGCTTGTTCATGAGCTGGTGGGACACTGTTATGGACCCAGTGACTTCCAGAGGGCCACCTTTTCCTCATTTTCATGAAGGCTCAGCATGGTTTAGCAGTATTAATATACAGAAATCATCCCCAGAGACCCAGTCATGTGACCTGGGTCACTTGAGGACCTGGAGGAGGGAAACATTGAAAAGAGAAGAGCTGCCCATGCCCCAGACTTGACTTGTCCTGTCATAAGGTGTTGGCTGTGGTTGACCCTAAGAGGTCTAGATTCTTCTGTCCTTTAGGCCTCTGTGACAGTTTCATTTACTCCAATCCATTTAACTACTTATCATGGGCTTGTTTCTATTATCAGGAAGCTACTGTTTACCAAACTCAACTCTTCAAGAGGCTCTATTTGAAAGTGATCAGGGGGTTGGAAGACAAAAACCATGTCACTCTTCAGGAAGTAGAAGACACAAAGAAGCAAGAAGGCCTTACAGGAGCACCTAATGTTGGATACACTTCCTTCTCTACCTGTCCTGGGTCCATATCCTATGTGTCACAGCCCAACTCCTAGCCAAACCTGCCTAGGCCAGGCTCTGTCCTTTTGTTTGGTCTTGCTTTCTGTTGAAATCTCCTAAGATTCCAGCCAAGTTTCCCAAGAACTCAGCAATCAGTTATGGGTTGGTCAGAAAGTGAAAAAAAAAAATCAGTAAAAGAGTTTCGGGGCTCCACCCCAGATTTCCTGGCACATAATCTCTAAAAGTGGGTGTGAGCCTAGAAGTCAGGTTGGTTTTGTATTTATGTGTACCAGGAAGGTTCTTTTTTTTAAAAATGATTTATTTATTCTTATTTTTATGTGCATTGTGTTTTGCATGTATGTCCTAGTGAGGGTGTCAGATCCTCTAGAACTGGAGTTACAGACAGTTATGAACTGCCATGTAGCTGCTGGGAATTGAACTGAGGTCCTCTTGAAGAACAGCCAGTGCTCTTAGCCACTGAGCCATCTTCCCAGCCCCACCAGGAAGGTTCTGATGACCACAGAAATCTGGGAAATACTTTTGAAGTTTCCCAGTGTGTTTCAACAGTCACAGAAGACCCAATTGGAGAACTTCTAAACCAGCATAGAAATATAGGGGCCCTTAGTCCCCAGGGATGGCCTTAGGTGGCTTGGGTAATGCTGCTGGTGTTTCTAACTTTTGGATCATCTCAGAAGGTAGAACTTAGGCTTCTGTCATCATCAGCAGTGGTACCTCTGGGATTCTGGCATGAGTGGTATAGAGTCCAGGCTGTTTCCAGCCATGCTAAAACTTCTCATCCCAGCTTTTGGTCTCTTGGCCTCTGGGGCTTGGGATGGGATCAATTCCCAACTCTTTCAAGGTAACGAAAGCCTAGGTAGACACATGTCTTGTTTCCTAATCTAACCTGAGCTACATAATATAGATGCTAGAGGTCACTGCTTGGAGCCTACAGTTCCTTTGTCTGCTCACTTTCTGACATTGATTTCTTTGTTCAGGTATAAGTCATTTAGGGTGCATGTAGATGTCATGGGAACCTTTGAAGAACTACATGTCTTCTGCTCAGACCTCACAGGTCACCCCCTCTCACTAAAAGACCCTGTTGTACAGCTACCTAAATCTTTCTGAAGGACACAATGATCACACCTATGTAGTGGAGATTAGTTATAGACAAGAAGTGAGGAAATGACTAGAAGAGTAATTAGGGCCAGTAATTAAAAGACTCAGTCACTATTAAGTGCAATCCCTTTTCATGTGGAAATCCAGTTAGAAAAGCACAGACCTTTGCCCAAGGTCACACAGTTTTTAACTCTCTTGATTTGGGGCTGGGCATGGCTCAGTGGTTGAAAGGACCTATTATTCTTGCAAAGGACAGGAGTTTGATTCCCAGCACTAATCTCTGGTAGCTCACAACTGCCTGTAACTCCAACTCCAGGTGAACTAATATCCCTCTGTCCTTGTACAAAGACATACACATAAGTAAATAATGATAAAATAGTTAGAGACCGGGTGAGGTAATGGGGTCTCCAATCACAGCATTTAGAAGGTAGAGGAGTTTGGGGGTAGCCTGGGCTACACAATCTAGCCCCCAAACTCAAAAGCGGAAAACAAAACAACTCCAGAACATGAACAACAATAACAAAAAGGTATGGTCTTGAACTTAAGCACACACCATTAATTCCAGCACTCAGGTTGCAAAGGCACCTGAATCTAGGAATTCCAGGCCAGCCTGATATACACAGAGTTCCAGGTCAGTCAAGGTTACATAGAAAGGAATTGTTGTCTCAAAGAAGCAAAAAACCAAACAAAAAACCCCAAAGCCATACTTCCTGATTCTCCAGCCTTTGAACAGCCAAGTGCTGGGACTAGAGTTTTTGTCATTGTGCCTGGCTTTTTGGTCATTGTTATTAGGAATATGAAGACTTTGATGCAATGGCTGAGACTGGGTCTTGCCCACCACTCTCTCTAGCATAACACCAAATACATACTAGCCTAAAACAAAAATGTGAATCTGGAGAACTGTAATTTAAATCCATATTCTCACACTAATAAATAGGTGTATTGAATCCATGCAGGGTAGGGGGATCTTCTAGACAGATGAAAGGAGGGCCGGGAGGTTGGAGTTGACTTTTTTTTTTTTTTTGAGACAGGGGTTCTCTGTGAAACAGTCCTGGCTATTCTGGAACTCACTCTGTAGACCAGGCTGGCCTGGAACTCACAGAACCCCCCCTGCCACTGCTTCCCAAGTGCTGGGTTTAAAGGCGTGCGCCATCACCACCCGGCCTTTTTTTTTTTTTTTTTTTTTTTTTTTTTTTTTAAAGAGAGGACACACTGCAGAGGCTGACCTCAAACTCGAAATCCTCTTGCCTCAGTCTTTTAAGTACTGGTATTGCATACCTGTGCCAGCTTACTTAGCAGCCCAGTGGCAAGCTCTACACAGCAGAATGAAGTCAATAAGCAATTATTGGTTAACGCGATGTTCTCATAATTCTTGATTGTCCTGTCAGGACCTGGTTTATTTTTCTCTTCTAGGCCTTGAATGATGATGAAATGTAGATTTTATTTGTTTACTGTCTGGAATCCTGTCATTGGAAGGCAGGACTTTTGCTTTGGTGACTTCCCACTCCTGGTTTGGCACACAGCCCAAATTATGAAAATTTCCTTTCGTTAGCTAACCGAATCGTCTAGAAAGAAAACCTTTAAGGTTCTGAGCGGTCAGGAAACGGAACTCAGAGACGTGATGCTGCTGCTCCAAGGTCACACAGAGGCGGGGGCCTGACCACCATTCTCACTCACGCAGCTACTAAAGACGCAGACACGCAACCCCGAGTGGTACCGGCGCTTTCTCCTTCCCCGTGCCCTTGGCTAACTAACGCTTTTCCTGCGACCTGTTCTCTATCCACTAATGTGTACCTGCGTCTGGCAGCGCGGCCCCAATCCCCGTGCATCTGTTATGATTGCGGTTTCAAGAGACACGTGCTACCCCAGTGAATGAATCGCACGTCCCCACCCCCGCCGACAGCCAATCAGGATGAGCTAAAGCCGGACCACTTCCGCCTATTGCGGGCCCGGGCCACGCCAGACGGCCCACGTGAGGCTTACGAGAAAAGGGTGTAGGCGGTGGCGCGTAGGGGGCGGGCTCTCCACGCCTCCCCACCAATCAGAAGGTCCTCCAGGGACGCGGGAGGCGGGGCCGACGTGAGGCGCCAACGCTTAAACGAGAGGGGTAGGTGGGTGCAGGGAGGAGTCTTGAAAGGGGGAGCGGTGAATGATAGACCCGCTCATCCAATCGTAGGAGGGGTTGGGCTGCATCAACCAATAGGAAGTCTGCTGGGCGGGGTCAGCACTGCAGCAAGTTCGGTTGCGCGGAGACCGCAGCTGTTCCCTGTCAGTGGAGGCAGAGGCCGTCAGAGGCGGCGGCCACGGCTTGCGGCGGCGGGGCGGAGGTGAGTGTCCGCGGCGCTCCGCACCTTCCTCTTCCTGCTGCAGGTCTCTGTGGGTGGGAGTGCGCCGGCGCCGGCGCCGGGGACGCTTATGTAAGGGTAGCGCGCGCCAAGGCGGCGCGGGCTCCGCAAATGACTGCTGGAGGAGACTGCTGCGGGCTGTGCACGGCGCGGCGCGACACGACGTGCTCAGTCCCTCCCCCTCCTCAGGCATCGGGTCGCCGTGGACCCGCCCCCTCCCTTGCCAGGGGCGCCTGAGAGCCTGCCGGAGCATCCTTTAGGCGCAAGCGACTTGTCCCGCCCCCCTGGTGGCCCGCATTGGCTTCAGTCATGCTCTCGGGTGCCCATTTTCCAGACAGAGAAACTGACGCTCCGAGCCCTGAAGTGCTTCGCGCCAGCTTCCTGAGGGCTCGAATTCCAGTCTGTCAGAATGGGGCACCCTAGTTGTCCCCATAATACTGGATGTGTGAAATCCATGCAGGGAGTGTAAGAGAGACTTTTCCTTGTTCCAGATGTGTGCACTACGTTTCCCAGGGGAGCTCCTGAGAGCCCCTGGTTTCCACTTTGGTTCAGGTGTGGAAGGTATTCTGAGGCTCCTAAGATGCACTGAGGTGTGCCTGGGTGCAGCCCGTTATTTCTACAGCTTACAAGAGTTTGGAAAGTGCCCTTTTGGCATGAACGCCCTGGCTTTGAGGACTTGTGCTTCAGGTTCCTCCTAGAGTTACTGGCCCTGTGTACTTTTGAGCGAGTTGTTTTACCTTTGCAGGGCTCTTTCCTCATTTCACAAACTTTGGAATCAAGCATGATTTCTAGGTCTCTTGCAGCTTTGAAATTGTTTATAGTCTGAAGGTCTCTTTATTTTTTATTTTTCAAGACAGGGTTTCTCTGTGTAAGTCTGTCTTGGAGTTCTGTCCTGGAACTTGCTCTGTACACCAGGCTGGCCTTGAACTTACAGAGATCTGCCTGCCTCTGCCTCCTGAGTGCTGAGATTAAAGGCGTGTGCCACCACTGCCTAGCTCTCTTAATTTTAAGTCAAAGCTAATTTTAATTTTGGTCAAAGCTAATTACTACCATTCTCCATCTGAGAAAACTGAGGCTCAAAGAGCCAACTATCCTAATAGTGGTGGCTCACATCTTTAATCCCAGCAATTGGGAGGCAGAGGTAGTCGAATCTCTGCCTTTGGGGCTAAGCTTGGTCTACAGAGAGAGTTCCAGGGCAGCTGTACAGAAACCCTGTCTCAAAAACCAAAACCAAACAAACAAACAAAAAGAGCAAACTAGATAGACTCACTCCCCGAGTCTTTACCATGTGCCTTCCCAGTTGCTCCCTCACCCAATGCCTCCAGCAGTCCTGGCTAGCCTCCTGCTTGTCACTCTTCCCCTGTATGATGCAAATACTCATGGTGTGTGTGTGTGTGTGTGTGTGTGTGTGTGTGCTTGCTCACTCATGCACGTGTGCTGAGCCTTCTGCAGACTTGCAGCTAAAGCTGTTGGTTTGCCTGTTCTTCACTGTTAATTCTCAAACTCTTTTTGGAAATAGGATCTTGCAGTATAGTCAAGGCTACCTTTAAACTCATGATTCTCTTGCCTGTTCCTTCTAAATGCTGAGGTTATAGCTACATGCCAACAATTACATCACTAGGTCTTTAATTTTTTTTAACTAAAAAAATTTTTTTGAGACAGGTTTTTTTTTTTTTTTCTTTCGGTTTTTGGAGACAGGGTTTCTCTGTGTAGCTTTGGAGCCTATCCTGATACTCGCTCTGGATGGAGACCAGGCTGGCCTTGAACTCACAGAGATCGGCCTGCCTCTGCCTCCTGAGTGCTGGGATTAAAGGCGTGCACCACCAATGCCTGTCAGAGACTGGGTTTTTTGTGTAGCCCTGGCAGTTCTGGAACTCACTCAGTAGACCAGACTGCCTCTGCCTCCTGAGTGCTGGGATTAAAGGTGTTCCACAACCAGTCCCAATGAATACTTCTATAAAACATTCTTGCAACGAACGCTCTGGGAGCACTGTGGAAGAGGGGTTGGAAAGATTGTAAGAGCCAGAGGCTCAGGGAGTTCACTGTGAGATTGTGTCTCCTAGTAATTAATGTTAGAAGCTACATCATAAAATCTCAAACAAGTACACCTTTAATTCTAGCACTTGGGAAGCAGAGGTAGGTGGATCTCTGTGATGTGAGTTCAAGGCCAGCCTGGTCTATAAAATGAGTTCCAGGACAGCCAGGACTACACAGAGAAATCCTGTCTCGAAAAGACAAACAAAAATCTCACTACCTTAACTGTCCAAATGTGATATGAACAAGGGTGACATGAATGGAGATACCAAAGTAAATGGGGTAGAGGAGCCAAAAAGGCCTCAACTCTACAGAAAGAGCTGTAGGCAACTCAGGAAAGCTCCTGAAGTGGACAGGTGCTCTTCTCCAGGGAAGAACACACCAATTGATTTTCCAGTGCCAAATGGCCAGCCATGAAAACATGCATATGGACTGAGTATATTTAGGAATGTGTATGTATAGACTTTCACATATGTGAATGCAATAACAGTTAATGAAAGGAGAGGCCATGAATTTGAAGAAGAGTGAGGAAGGGTATATAGGAGGGTTTGGGGGAGGAAATCGAAGGAAGAGATATAATCTCACACTGCTCTTTCAGAAAAAAGGCATGTACCATCATGCAGGTTTTTGTTTTCAGTTTTTAGATTAATTTTTATGTAACTGAGGCTGGTCTTGAACCTCATGATCCTCCTGCCTCTACTTCCCAAGTGCTGGTATTATAGGTGCATACCCTCTTCATCCTTGCTTTTCTCTTGCAGTACCCCAAATGCTGTGCTGGGTACATGTCCTCCCAAATTCCACACTTCCACTGTCTGTCTTCATAGTCCCCAACACTGTCCTGGGAACACAAAGGTGATTAGTAAATGTTTTGGATAAATTGGAATGGTACATGGTGAAAACCAAGGAGATTAGTGGGCCAGAACCTGGGGAAGATAGAAAGAAGTTAGTTTGGGGCAGTAACAGTTACCAGAATCTCTAGGAGAAAGTCAGTAAATTTGGGAGGGAGTTCCATATCACTGGAACACTCTTCTGCCTGAGCCAGATGCCCAATTCAGGTCACTGTCTTTCTGGAAAACCCTTGTGGGCCTTCTCTTTTGTTGCCTTTGGTAGCATCTTACCTCTTTTGAATGGGCCCCGACTTTTTGTGTTCTGGAAGTGCCTGGCTGCTCCTCTGTTAGTGTTGAGTTGTATAGTGAGGTATAACCAGTGTCTGAAACTCTGAAGCACAGGCTGTTTCTGAGAGTTAGAGGAAATTAATTGGAGAAAGAGCCTTGGGGCTGATTTCTTGCCCAGAGGCATCCTGTGCAGAATTGGGGCCTTGTACCTGCTCATTCTCTGGGACCTCACCTGAGCCTGTGGCTGCCTGCCATGGAGGAGGTCCTGCAAGTGGGAGCTGGGAAATTGGCAAACAGAATAAACTATTGCTTCTGTTTGAATGGGAAGTTTGTTTCAGATTGGCTTTTCAAGTGGCTGGACATGATGGCTTATGCCTGCAGTCCCAGCACTCAGGAGGTGAAGTGGGAGGGTTAGAGATTTGAGGCCAGCCTAGGTCGAATAATGAGTTCCAGGCCAGCCTCAGCTACATAGTGAGATCCTATTTTCTCCTTGCAATCTTTAACAAAACAAGACTAATGCTATTTTACTGTTGACCTCTTGACCTCAAGGTGACTTCTTCTTTAGCCCCCTTTGAAACTACTCACTTTTTCCTTCAGCCCTTTATTTCCTCTTATTTCTAGTGACATTTCTTTTTTTCAGGGTCTTTTCGTCATGTTCTGTCAAAATTAAACTACTCTTCAAGATAAGGGGCTTTCCTGAATTAAACTTGCCAAATCTATTCAGTTGGATATGACTATTTTAATATGATGATGTTATTAATTATAAAAGCCAACTTGCACTCAGGAGGCAGAGGCAGGTAGATAGATCTCTGTGAGTTTGAGGCCAGCCTGGTCTACAGAGTGAGTTCCAGGACAGTCAGCACTATGCAGAGAAACCCTCCCTCAAAAAACCAACCAACCAAAAAAAAAAAGGCCAAGATATTTATGTATACATGTATGTGTTATGTGTATGTGTGTGCTGTCATTGTGATAGAGACTTTGCATACAGAGAGGTGATGTAATTCATTCAAAGTCATACAAGTAGGAATGGCATGGCTGGCACTAACCCTGGGCTAAGGTCCTGCTGGCTGCCTCTTACATTTCCACTTATAAAATTGGTCTGTAACAGCTTATTGGCACTTTTTGGGCAGAACCTGTGCCTTTTGGCATGAATCTATGCAAGGCAGTACTGGGTAAATGCTTTATTGAATTACATGTCTCAAACATTCTATTTCATTTTGACACAATCTATCATGGTGACTGGTTTTCTGTGGACAAGTGTGCTTCCTGGACTGTGGCTCTTATTTGGCTGTTTATTGGCCAGTAGTTTGAGCTGCCCACCAGTAGTCTTTGAAAAGGAAGCACTCTACAGAGTCCCCGTAGTGACTGCACACTCCCTATGCATTCCTGGGGTGGGGGTGCTTAAGCAGTGGGGTGTGCTCTTAGGTCTGGAAGGGAGGTCCCTCAGCAAGAGAGGATTAGAGGAAAGAGTAGGGGGTGGTGGAAATAGAAGATGCCTGGCAGGTCACGTAGGCCTGTGCCTCATTAGTGTCAAGTTGCACAGTGAGATAGGCCAGCATCAGAGAATCAGGAGCACAGGTAGCTCTTGAGGATTAGACACAGTTGCCTAGAGAAAGTGCATCTGGAGCTGGATGGAGGAGGGAGGAAGGAAAAAGCACTCTGGAGGAAACAGACTGTGAGTTTTTGTTCTTTCCTAGTGGTTCCAGACAAGAGCGTGCCTTTTCCCCCTCTTTTAGTGCTGGATATTGAGCCTAGGGTCCTATCCATACTAGGCAAGTGCTGTATCGATGAGCTACATCTGGTCTTGTTGATATTTTTTATTTTATCTGTATGGATGTTTTGCCTACATGTATGAATACATGTATGTGTACCATGTGTGTGTTTAGTGCCTATGTGGTGCAGAGGTGTCATATTCCCTGTAACTGGAGTTACAGAAGGTTGTGAACTGTCATGTGCTTGTGGGAACTGAACCTCTGGCCCTCTGCAAGAACAAGTGCCTTTTACCACTGACCCTGTTTCCAGCCCCCTTTTTACTTTTTATTTTGAGACAGGAGCTTTGAATCTGTGAATTGTCTGCCTCTGTACAGGCCTATGTGTAACTCCAGTCTGAGGCAGAAAAATCACAGGTTCAAAGCCCCTGTCTCTCATCAGTTATTGATTTTGCCCTACATTTTATAGGTGACTGTGTAGCAGAGCAGCAAGGTGTGGGGTGCAGGTAGCAGGGGCACCTGGTGACCCTTATTAAAAGAAGCAGTTCTGTAGGCTCCTGTGTTCCTAACATTCCTAGGTTCTCTGGGGAGTGTCTGGAAAAATGAGGATAACACGTTTTTTCCCCTCTTTTACTTCAGCTAGCATCTGCCTTCTGGAGAGCTGACAACACCAAGGGTAAGTTCTGAGCCTGAGCCCAGGCCATCATCCTGTTGCATGGGGGTACTTTTAAAGACACTGTAGTCCTAGTACACACACACACACACACACACACACACACACACACGTCATCTTTCAAATTCAGTCAGTACAAAAGGCCACACTCTTGGCTTTTGGAAAATCTCCACTTCATCTTGATCTCCAAATTTTTTCTGGGTTTTCACAGGAAGGTGACATCTGGTTCCCTACAAGCTCCAGTTGGCAGCTGGCCAGCTGCAGCAGGAGGCCCTTTTTCTAGAAGGGTGTGGCTTGGGAAGCTGGGCTGGGGATGGTGGCGCTGACCTACAGGAAGCATCCCTTCTGTGCAGCCTTTGAGAAGACTTCATACTCAGAGACCAACTGACATCTTGGTGGCAATTAGCTGTTAAGAGCACTGATTACTGAGCCTGGAGAGGTATGCAGCTGTGACATGAGAGGTGGCTTTAGCAGCTACTTGTAATACTTGGCCCACTTCTCTGATGTCTAGCAGTTACAAGATCACATGGACAAGGGGTAAAGGCAGAATTGTTCCTTTTTCTTGCCACCGAGAAGCATTTTGAGCACTGTCCTCTATAACCTGCCACCCCCCACTTTTTTTTTTTTTTTTTTGAGACAGAATTTCCTGGCTGTCCTGGAACTGGCTCTGTAGAGCAGGCTGGACTCAAACTCAGAATTCCACCTGCCTCTGCCTCCCAGGGAAAGGCATGTACCACCATGCCCAGCAGACCTGCCACTCTTTTGTTGTTTTTTTGATACAGGGTTTCTCTTTTGCTGTGGAGCCTATCCTGGAACTAGCTTTGTAGACCAGGCTGGCCTGGAACTCAGAGATCCACCTGTCTCTGCTTCCTGAGTGCTGGGACTAAATGCATGTGCCACCCTCACCTGGCCAGACCTGCCATTCTTAAAGCATTTCCCTTGGGGCTTTCTCTAGGTTGTAGGTAGTTGGGAGCTGCAGGTGCATCTGCTCAGCCTGAATTCTAAGGCATTGGGTAGGGCCCCACATCCTTCTCCAGTTTAGTTTCCCTCTAGTTTGCAAGAAGAGATACTCTTTCCCTCCCTTTGAAGACAGGTGTCTTGCTTTCCCTGTTTCATAGCTAGGGACCCTGGGGACTTTGCTGCTCAGCTGTCTTCAGCGCTCAAATTTGTTTTCCGTGGGGTAGAGATTCTTTTGTTTTAGGTTTTTTTCTTGGTTTTCTACTCACTGTACAAAGAATTTTCTGGGTGTGCCCTTCTAGACCTATGAATGGCTCCCCCTCCTCAACATTTTATGTGTATTGGTGTTTTGCCTGTGCATCGCATGTATGCAGTACCTGAGGAGGTCCGAAGGTGTCGTATCTCTCTGGAACTAGAGTTAATGGTTGTGTGTCATTGTTGGGATCCAAACCTGAGTCCTGTGGAAGAGCAGCAGCCAGAGCTCTTAGCTTCTGAGTCATCTCTCCAGCCTAGAATTGGTCACTTTTGAGCTCTTTCATCTTCCTCTTGTCCTTGGGTCAGTAGTGGGTGTTTCCAACTCTACCACAGAGTCTCCTTAGAAAGTCCATGGAGAAAGGCAGATAGATGGGTACTCGTTGGAGATGGTTCATTCTGTGAATATGTGACACTCTGCCATGTTTTCCATCATCCTCTTTGTTGGCTGTGTAGCACGAAAAATAAAAGACCCAGAGACTGATATTGGGGTTCAAGCTTCAAGCTGAATACCAGAAAAGCAAAGCAGCTGGTCACTAGCTTTTACCTCTATCTTAGGCTGAAAGGGCCGATCCACGAATGAGCTCTTTACCAGGTCTCAAACTGCTGCCTCTCCTCAGTGTGGCTAGAGAATGAATGCCTCTTTGACACCTTGTCTTATATACTTCCCTAATGTTGGAATTAAAGGTATAAGCTATAATTCTCTTTTATACTGATTCACTCTTGTGTAGATCTGGGTGGCCTTGGACTCAGAGATCTTAATCCCGAGTCCTAGAATTAAAGGTGTGTACCACCACCTCCTAGCTACTGGCTGCTGGGATTAAAGGTGTGTGTCTGGCCTCTATGGCCTGTGGCTGCTTTCTGGATCCTCAGGCAAGCTTTAATAAATCATAAACAATA